GATAGATAGATAGATAGATAGATAGATAGATAGATAGATAGATAGATAGATAGATAGATGGATAGATAGATAGATGTGCTCCTGATGCTCTGTGCCTTGTGATCCAACCTTTGGTGAGGCTCCCAGCTCCCCCTTGCCGAAAGGGTGGGAGGGGGACGGTGGGAGGCGGAGCAGAACTCCCTGATGAAATCCTGCCTGGTGGGCTCTGCTCCAGTCGCACGGCCTCCTGGCCTGGCCCAATCTTCCACTTGCAACCCTCCTGACGTTAGACGTTAGACCCAGGTTGGACTAACCTTCTGAATTGTCTCATGTTGTCTCGCCTGTCAGGATTTGACAGGGTTCCCCCAGTCAGCCGGCCTCCTCCACCCAGTGGTCTATGTGTCTGCTGTGATTCTGCTGAGCTGCCTCTTGATGGTCCACATTAGCTACGCCTATCACCACAGGTAGCCTCCTCCTTCTCCGTCTCTGTGGATTCACTCGGGCTCAACCAGCGGGGGTTTGGGAGGGAGGGGCGCACCGGCACTAACAAAACATCTGCCTTCAAAGCACTCACGGGCAGGTGGTCCTCAACTTAATGACCGTTCCAAATTACAGTGGCACTGAAAAAAAGTGACACATCACCATTTTTCACACTTTGCGACCGTTGTCACGTAATCAAAAGTTTGGACGCTTGGCAGCTGACTCATATTTATGACAGTTGCAATGTCCCAGGATCGTGTGATTCCTCCTTTAGCGACCTTCCAACAATCAAAGCAGTCAAGGAAGCCCGGTTTAACAACGGTGGTGCTGACTTAACGACTGCAGTGATTCGCTTTAACAGCTGTGGCAAGAAAGGTCGTAAAAAGAGGCAGTCCTCAGCAAATCTCTCCGTTTGCAACATACATTTTGGCCTCCATTGTGGTTGTAAGTCGAGGACTACCTGTTGCCAGTCCTTCGCCGTCTTGGCTACTGACTTGAGGCAGAGAAACAGATGCACAAGCTTTGTGAAAATACCGCTTTGAAGAAAGATTCCCCATTTGTGCTTCATGAAACTTTTCTTTCTCATGCTTGGCATCGTTCTAACATTTCACCAAATGTGCCTCCCTGCCTCATCTGCGCATCTGAAAAATGCAGAACTTCAGACTGAATTAGCAGGAAGGCTTCAATGTTATATTCCTCAATTCGGGGTATTAAATCATCAAAAGAGTTCAGTAAAATGGCTCTGTCACCCAACATGCGCTACACCATAAGCTCATAATCTATCATGCTAAAGTCTGCTCCAGATATACTCTTATTAACATTTTCATTCATTCATTTAATTTCTCCTAACACTGAGGCCCATTCTGACGCTTCAGGCAGAGAAAGGGTTATTTCTGGGCCTTTAATTATTTTTGAAATATTTGTGATCCTGCAGGTACATCTGTAGAAAAAAGAGTTCTAACATTTGTTGCAGCTCTGTAGAATGCTTGCAAAATTCATTCCTGTAATAATTCTGCTTTGCCGTGGTTTCTTTTATTTTGGACTGATAACAGCATCCTAAATACAGAGGGGCAAATACAACTGTTTAAAATTGTGTAAAACCCTCCGCTTCCTCGGGTTTATAGATTGAGCAACTCTTAGTTTATGAAAAATTTAGCCTAATGTGGCTTCAGAAAGATGTCAGTAAGAGATGAATAACAGCAGAGAAACTTTCTGCAAGAAACCAATTCACTGCTGAACTTCAGTTAAAGTCTGAAAAGTATTGGCATTGCTCTAGAACATTTGCATAAATTAAGCAAGCAGGATGGTTTCATGGAAAGTGAGCATTTATTCTAAAACGGGCTCTAAAAATCCTTGCAATTTACAGGAACAGACGGTGACTTTAGTCGTATTATAGTAGTAAACCTTCCCTGAAGATTAAAAGCAGTCTGTCTTAGCTGATCAGGCTGCCTGATTTTAGCTTTTTTCCCCCTGCTGTTATAAAGGCGTCACGTTTGTAAATACGTTTTTGCATTGATCATTTGAGTTTTACCAGGATGGTTTCAAGTTTTGGGTGACCAAAATTACAAATGATTTCTTTGTCTAATCGATTAATACTTAGGTTTGTCTGCAAAATAACTGCTGTGGTTTTCTTTTTCCATTCCATAGTGTCATCAGGATCAGTCTTAAAAGCTGGCACATGTTAATAAACCTCAGCTTTCATATTTTCCTGACATGCCTGGTGTTTGTTGGAGGCATAACTCAGACCAAACATACCAGCATCTGCCAAGCGGTAAGTCAGACGCATCCTGGAAAAATTGCGGGGAAAGGAAAAAATAAACTCAAGAATGAAGTCCATTAGTTAAGTGTTAACTGTTCATTTTCTGGAACTTTATGTTCAGGACATCAATTTTATTTTTAAAACAATTTTAAACAATAGGTGTCTGGTAGCATATTTCCAGGAGATATATAATTAATTATAATTTTATATATATATATATATATATATATATATATATATATATATATATATATATATATATATATATACATACACACACACACATACATACATACATACATACATACACATACATACATACATATACATACATACATACATATATACACATACATATATATACATACATACATACATACATGTTGTATTTGTGCTGATAAATAAATAAAGGGAGACTAGTATAGATCTATTTCAAGCTATTTAGCTCTCATCAGCTAGCCATACCCTTACTGGGATTTGAACCTGGGCTATATTACATGTTAGGCAGATGTCTTAGCCATTAGGCCACAGGCTCTGATCCATTATCAGCCAAGCCAGGGTGAAAGGTATCTATTAGATTTTACAACCCTCGGTATGCCCAAATATGGGAGGAAGCTCACTACTTCCATTCTCTGTCCTTCGGCTCGTCACAAGAGACCATCCAGGCAGAAACCCAATATTTTTACTGTTGCTTTTTTGTTACATATGTTGTATTTGTGCTGATAAATACAACATATTTACAGGAACAGAAGGTGTTCGCTAAGACGTCTCCCTAACATGCAATACAGCACAGGTTCGAATCCCAGTAAGGGTATGGCTAGCTGATGAGAGCTAAATAGCTTGAAATAGATCTATACTAGTCTCCCTTTATTTATTTATTTTACATATATATCTGATGAAGGGAGCTGTGAGCCACAGCTCCCTTCATCAGCTACCTGGAGTGGCCAAACAGGTGTCATATTTGAAGGCAAGGTGTGGAGGAAAAGAAAACTTGTTTGTGTAGATCCTGGGTGAATAGATTACAAGAATCATATCGATGAGCATCTGTTATTGGTTAAAGATCTTCTGAGGCAGCCTGTCACGTGTCCCTGGGTGTGTGTGAGTTCTGTAGTCTCTGCGTGCTGCTACGTTGCTGGCAAGTCATTTTATGCTCGCAAAAAAAGCCACTTGGAGATCTCCAGTGAGGTGCTCTTCACTTGGCCCTTATTTTGATTGATGATGGCCATTAATTCTTCTAGCCAAAAGTCAAAGGACTCCCAAGACAAGGTCCTGACAAAAAAAAATCACACTCTTGCGGTTTTGATTTATAGCAGCTTTCCCCAACCTCCTTCAAATGAGGGAGGCTCAACTGCCAGATCCTGTCAGCTGTCATGAACGGCCCTGGACAAACCTGGAAAGGTCCCCTTGGCTGGAGAAGATCCGTTTGTGTTTGTTTTGTTAATGAGTCGTCTTTTTAAAAGGTGGGGGAGGGATGTGGTGGCTCAGTGGCTAAGACGCTGAGCTTGTCGATCAGAAAGGTCAGCAGTTGTGTCACATATTGTCAAATGTTAACCGGATCGCTGGTTTCCTGGGTCAGTTTCAATATCAGCTGCCATTACAATTGTATTCTTTTTCGCAAAGGGATTTCTGAGCAGTAGAACAAGAGAATAGAATATAGAATAGAATAGAATATAGAATAGAATATCAGAATAAAGAACAGGAATGGAATAAGAATAAAATAGAATGAAATAAAATAGAATAAAATATCAGAATAAAGAACAGGAATGGAATAGAATTATTCATTGGCCAAGTGTGATTGGACACACAAGGAATTTGTCTTTGATGCAGATGCTCTCAGAGTACATAAAAAGACAAGATACATTTGTCATGAATCATAAGGTGCAACACTTAATGATACTCATAGCATTAAGCAATCAAATCATATTAGGAAACAATATCAATATAAATCGTAAGGATACAAGCANAGGAACTCTGGGAGTTGAAGTCCACAAGTCTTAAAGTTGCCAAGGTTGGAGACCACTGGCCTAGTGGACCGACAGACAGGATCAATCAACGGATTGATTTGATATAATATTTTTATACACACACACACACACAGACACGTAATGCTTACTCTTCCAAGGCCGGTTCTTTGGAAGTTTTCTATTCTAACAATTTGGCGTCTTTGGGGAGCTGATCTACCACTTTTGCAGCACACAGCACGGAATTTTTTGTTTGTGTCGTTTTGTTCCAACAGTATTCTCCAAATATTGCAGTGGAAGCTTATGTCATCAAGGGCTCTAGCTTCACTGGGATGACCTGCACCGTGTTCAGGAAGGTCGCCGCGGCCGATCGCTCGGGCTTCTCTGACTATGGACGAAGAGACCTGGAGGGCAGCCTGGACAAGCAACTGGGCTTGAAATGCAACATCTCAAACACCTTGTCCAGCCTCGCGCTCAAGGTGAATGGAAGCTAAGCCACCCTACGCGCATGCGCGCACCTGCTTGTGTTTGTGTTCCAGGTGCCCTCCGGCGTTGGAGCATTTGGGGGTGCTGCCATTTCCAACTACAAGCATGAAATGACCTTTGTACATGAACAGATCGGGGGGAGAGATTAGGCTGAAAACCAGCATGTCATTTACCCTATATCAAAAGATTGCATCGTTTTAAAACTAACTCTATGGTTTTTAAGCCCAAGTCAACCTTGAGCCAGTCAGGATCGAACTGCTGACAGTCGGCAGAGTCAGCCTGCATGCTGCCTTCTAACCACCTGAAAAACGGGCCATCGGTCACTTTTTCCCCCCCAGTGCCGTTGTACCTTCCACTCGACGCGCCGTCGTCCCTCGAGGGCTGCCTGTACCCTGCGTTAACTGCGCTGCTTCCTTTTTGCAGAACACGGTTGTGGAGGCGTCCATCCAGCTGCCCCCGGCCTTGTTTCACCAGAGGCAGAAGAGAGAGATTCAGCCCCCCACGGAAGACGCTCTCTACAGGCTTCAGCTGATCGCCTTCCGGAATGGGAAACTCTTCCCGTCAACGGGCAATTCCACCACTTTGAGCGCCGACAGGAAACGCCTGACGGTGGTCACCCCGGTCATCCTCACCAAAGCAGGTTTGTCCCTTAGCGGGCTCTCGTCTCCTATCCCCTCTTGTGTCCCCTTACTCCAGGGGTGTCAAACTCGGCTTCATTGAGGGACGCATCAGGGTTGTGTTTGACCTTGGGGAAGGGGGGGAGGGAGGGGCGTGGACAGCTCGACGTCACTTGTGTCGGGGGCGCCTGTTGGTGGCCCAAGTGCTCTGCCGGCGAAAACAGGCTCCCGAGTTCCGTTTTCGGCTGCCACGTCCTCCTGCAACCCTCTGCCAGCAAAAGCAGAGCTTGGGAGCCCATTCTCACTGGCAGAAGACGCACGGGGCGGTCTTTGGCTGCTTCCAGGATGGCCCAGCAGGCCACATCTAAGTACCCTGCGGTCCGGACCCAGCCCTTGGCCCTTTGACGCCCCTGCCCTACACTCTCTCTGTTCTGGAAATAACCATCTCTTTAATTTTAGCCTGTGCGTAAAAATACACACAAACACACTTTTTCTTTTCTTTGTGACCAAACAAGACGGCGTAAGCCCACCCTATCAGGACGTCCCCATCAACGTGACCTTGAGGCGCCTTGCGCACGGGACGGAAGCGGTGGCGGCTCAGTGGGACTTCGGTCTGCTGAACGGACAAGGCGGATGGAAATCGGACGGCTGCCGTATCCTTTTTTCCGATGAAAATGTCACCGCCATGCAGTGCTCCTCCCTCAGCAATTACGCCGTCCTGATGGTGGGTTCCGTGGTTTCCTTAAGGGCCGGGGGGGGGGAGAAACACAGCACCCCGATAACGTCATCCGGGTGGGGGCTCTTGGGTGGGTGGGTGGTTCCTATCACGGTATCAACCTGTCAGGAATGAACTCTGGTGTGTCGGGGAGTCTTTGACAGTTGCCCTTGGCAGAGAGGATGGCGCAGGGTGGACAGATTGGGTGGGTTTTAAGAGTTGCTGGCTCAAATCTCTCTCCTTCCTTTTCGCTGGGATGGAAACCCGTAGGCCAGGCTTAACATCCCTCCGTTTAGTGACTGCCTAAAGAAGGGCTGTCCAAACTTGGGAACTTCAGGACTTGTGGACTCCAGTTCCCAAGTTTGGACACCCCTGGTCTAAAGTTAAACAACACTTTAAATGACTTATGACTGTTTTCCACACTTACGACCATTGCAGCATCCCCATGGTCACGCGATCCAAATTCAGACGCTTGGCAACTGGCAGGTACTTACGACGGTTGCAGCGTCCCTTTCCCGGGGGGGGGGGGGGAGAAAAGATGTCCCATGATCCCCTATGGCCAGCTTCTGG